AAAACAGTAGCCTTTGTTTATTGAAGAATTTTTTAAAGGATAAAATCTAAGCTTTTTTTGTCTTGAGTTCTGACTGTCTTTATAAACCTACTATTGTAGCAAGTACCCTAACTCCCATTACCTGATAGACTGAATCTGGGAGGAAGTGTGTGTGTTTGCGCATTCATACGCGCACGCACAACTTTCAGGTCTTTTATGGTTTTTTGTCTTATTGACCTGACCTATTTTCTCTCTATTTCCACTGCATCATTTTACTTACTGTTTTTAGTGCATTGATATGATAGAACTTTTGGAATCCTAAGTTTTTGCCAGTTCTGGCCAAGAGCCTGTGTAGACTTTGATTACTAATACCTTTTATGAATGAAATTGGTAAAATTAAGCATCCTTGTGATCACTGCACCTCAAGATGGACACAGGCCAAGGAAAGGCTGCTAAAATATCCAAAGGATTATTACATGGTTATATCCATAGAGTTTCTACCAGTCAGTCACATTTCTACCAGTCAGTGTGTGGGAGCAGGGGGTTTGTTTTGTTTTGTTTTAATTCTCACCTAAAGATGTGTTTTCCATTGATTTTTAGAGAGAGTGGGAGGGAGAGAGGGTGGCCAGGAGAGAGAGAGAGAGATGATTGATGTGAGAGAGACGCATCGATTGGTTGCTTCCTGCACGCACCCCAACCAGGGCCTGGGATCAAACCTGCAACCCAAGTATGTGCCCATGGCTGGGAAATCAAACCTGCAACCCTTTGGTACATGGGCTGAGGCTCTAAGCACTGAGCTAAACAGGCCAGTCAGTTTGGAATAGGAACGTGAGGCCAGGGCCTAGGGCAGGGGTGGGGAACCATTTTTCGGGAAGGGCCATTTGGATATTTATAACATCATTCATGGGCCATACAAAATTATCAACTTAAAAATTAGCTATGAAAAAGGCACCCAGATTTATTGAATTTCAAGGCCCGCTGCGGTTGCCTTGGCAGGGCCAAATGATTTAGACGGGCATATACTCCCGACACAGCCTGCAGGCCAGATGTTCCCCGCCCCTGGCCTAGGGAATGAGTGGAACAACACAGCCTTCAAGGGGAAGGTCTTCCCCCAATCTATTCATCAAATTGTATCTCCTGCTCCCACTTACTGGGAGCTACTATGATTTCTTCTCAACAACTCCAGTATATTAGCCCAGAATGCCAAGTTAAGGAGAGACACCTCAGCCCTTTTTATTATTGCATTATATCAAGATCTCCCCCTTTTTCCCACATCTCCTTTACCTCCTCCCTGCCAAAAGGAAACATAAGTGTGGAACTCATAAAGCTATCAAGAGAATTGTAAAATGCACTTATAGGGGCACTTGAAACAAAGCCAGAGCCACTTCTCAGAATATGGTCCGACATAGGTCATCAAAAGGCAGAATTATTCCATTTAAACTGGTAGCTTGGTCATGTGAACATAGTCCATAAGCATCAATCCCTGTTTATGGTAGTTTACTATCTTTGACCTTGAATTTCCCATATCTGCGCTTGCCAAAAGTTTATGTCACCAATCATAAATAATGACTGCACAAAACAGAAGCCCAACTAGATAGATTTCTCTTTGTTTAATGTTTTTACAAATCTAAAAAGGAACATGACCCTAATCGTTTTAAGAATAAAAACTTCCTTATCTTCCTTATCGTGAAAGTCGGGAAAGACTGTAGTCTCCAAAAGAATTGTCTGAAGCTCCAGATTACGTCCGTCTAGGCTGGAGAAGAGAGGCCATGTTGTGCAGTATAATCTCCATAGACCCTGTGGATTATTGTTTCTTATCCATCATTGTGCAATACCAGGAAAAGAAAAGAGAATTTGAAGTTTAAACTGAACCTATTAGAAGTAAGGACAGTGCTAAGATTCAGAATAGGCAAGCAGAATTTAACTTTCTCGCTCATTTCCTAACTTCTGTCCATAAATTCATGTTTACTTTGCTAGAGATGCTAGATTTTACAAAGAATCTGGCCCTCTAGTTAAGCGTTATAATGTGTCTTTTTTTGGGGGGAGGGGTGGGCAGCAATGGAGTAAACTTCTTTTTTGATGATCCTCAGAAGTAGACTGAGAAAGAATTAGACCCCTGAATACAAGGAAGCTTTGAAAACTATTTGTATAAATACTGCACCATACTTATTAAGTGGGAGAACGGAGAAAGCAGACAGAAATGCAAAGCTGTTATGACATTCACTGTCAAATGTGCCATTCCATTTCCCATATCTAATAGTATTAAGGGCAATAGAAACAAGTTGGCATATAGCCAACTTCAAGTGCCCGACTGAAGATAAATGTCCCCCTTGGATTCTGTTAGAGAAAACTAGTTTGCCTGAATGAGCAAAAATAGAAATGGAAATACAGTATTCAGAATCTTTCCACCTCGTTATGAAAACTTGGTAAATAAAATATTGTAGGTGGATTTTGTCATAGATTGGAAATTAGGAATCCTAAGATTTTTTGTTATTATTGTTTTTCAGTTCTATCCTTGAATTATATATTTGGGATTTTTTGTTAGTATTCTTGCAGAAATTAATCTGTGAATTTGATGAAGTAGAGAAATAAAGATAGAAGAAAAGTGAGCAGTGGAGGTTTTAAACAAGAACAGGAGTGTTGCCCTGACTGGGTGGCTCAGTTGGGTGGAGCGTAGTCCAGTACAGTGAAAGGTCGCCGTCCATTCCCAGTTCGATCCCCAGTTGGTGTGCATATGGGAGGCGACCAGTCAATGTGTCTCTCTCACATCAGTGTTTCTCTCTCTCTCTTTCCCTTCCACTCTCTCTGAAAAGCAATGGGAAAAATATCCTCAGGTGAGGATTAAAAAAAAAAAAAAAAAGGAACAGGAATGTTAGCCAGGAATTAAAATATGCACATAGATTTAACTAAAACCAGAAATCCAGTGAATCAGTAAACAAACTTTCTTCAGGTTCCACTCATCATTACTCTTCCACAAGTTCCATTCACTGTAATTGCTTTACAAATCAAAACATTTGATTTCATCAAACTACTTTGATTTCAAAGTAGTACAACTACTTTGTGGACCTTGAGCCCAGTTCTTAGCGACGGTGGGGTGGAGCTAAATTAGAGAACCCGGTTCTTGAGGGGCGAGTAGCTGAAGTTGGCTGCGGAGTTTAGAGAAACTTGAATAAACCAAAGACAAAACAGCAGAGCTCATGATTAAACCATTTTCTTCAGATTAAATTTTTTTCAGGTTACAGATGGAGACAGCAGACAGTATTGCTGTATTGCTGTGCTTTGATTTGTTCCTACTTCAGTGCCCATTCTTACTCTGGAAAAGCTAAACTTGGATCTTCTTAGGTTAGAGCTATCAAAGGAAACTGACTGACACTAAACCAACTGCCAGTTTACCTCTTGTAAAAATTTCTCTTCTAAAGAGAATGCGTTAGGTATGTTTGATTGCTTTAGGAGATGAGTTACCCAAATACATATGGCACATCGACCTGGACTCAATGAGAAATCTGCAGGCCAGTTTGGACAACAGCCTGGGGGAGGTGGAGACGAGCTATGCCATGCAGATGGAGCAGCCCAATGGGATCCTGCTGCACCTGGAATTAGAGCTAGGCCAGATCAGGGAGGAGGGGCAGCCGCAGGCCCACGAGTCAGGTCCTGCTGAACATCAGGGTCCAGCTGGAGGCTGAGATGGCTACCTCTGCCTGCTGAAAGGGGAGGACTTGAACCTTGGTGATGCCCTGGACAATTGCAACTCCATGCAGTCCCTCCCAAAGACCACCACCGGCAGGATTGTGGATGGCAAAGTGGTGTCTAAGGTCAACGACACCAAAGTTCTGAGGTGTGAAGCAGAAGTGGGGCACCCCTTGGGGGTCAGGAGGCCAATAAAAGTTTTAAGAGATTAATAAAAAAAAAGTATACCTTTTCTTTGACTCTTAGTAATGCTGTCATATTACCCTGTTTATTTCCTCCATAGCACTAATCACACCATGAAATTGTTCTATTCGCTTGTTTCTCTTTCAGGTGCCTTGTTGGTCTTACTCACTGTTAAATTACTAGCACTTAGCTCAGAATTTGGCACATAGTAGGAGCTTTGTAAATATTTATTGATTGAATGAATGAGAGGCATGTTCAGGCTCATGAACATGACTACCCACTTGGAATTTCTAATGCACTCTTTCCTCCACCAGTTGGAATTGAGGGACACAACAAGAGAATCCATCAACACCCCGTCTCTGCCCTCCTCAAGTTCCAGCTTCCCACTCCCCACCCCCACCCCAGCTGCAGGAGTTTTTGTTCCTTGGTTTGTGTCCCAGATGGACTATTACAGTAAAGCAGTGATGTGGTAGTAAAGATACAAGGCTGAATATGCCATTGTCAAGACTTAATTTAATATAGAATAGCCAATTTATACCTTGTTTTCAGTGTTCTTAATTCTAATGCCTGGCTAGGATTGAAATTGTATCTAAATTCTGAGCACACTGCTTGCCTAGGGCAGCAGTAGACCTTTTCTTCAAATTTAAATTAGCTGAAGGCTGGTTGTCCTACATATAAAAATGTGTTTTTAATGTCCTGATCGAACACAGGCCATCCAATTAGGTGAATTATCTGAGGTGCTTGCTTTTTATCTACTGAAATTTATGATTAGAAAGCCCAAGAGCAGTTAAATTTCATTAATGGCATCACTCTGTCCATTATTACAAAAATTGTTTGTTTCCTGCCACCCAAAGAAACTGCATTTCTTCTTATCTCATACTTAAATTTGAACATATCTATTCAAGGAATGATTCTGCAAAATAAGGGTTAGGTTTCTGAAACCCGAGGTACAAATCCCTTCTGCCACATTCTCCAAAGATGATCCCTATGAGGACAGTTACTTCTGTCTCTAGGTTATAAAAAAAAAATTTCTGAGTAAAGATGCTAGAAGAGCATTCATTTACTGGATGAAATCCCGCATAGACCTAAGTATTTATCAAGAATCAAGATGTCTGTATCCTTAAGTTATTATATATAATCCTTTTTCTTAGAATCTTGTGCTGACTCTCAACTTCTCCTGGAAAAATGAGCCATTCCCACCATATGGGGATGAACCCTGTGGACCACAACAGTACCATGCCGCCGCCTCACCATCACGCGGCCACTTCGGCCTCCCACCTGCACGGGGGGGCGGACAGCAGCATGATGATGATGGTGAGTGCCGGGGGGAGGCCGCCAGGCCCTTCGCACACACTTGGGTAATGGAAATCATTGAATTTTAAGGCTGGAAGGTTGTCACCTAAAGTTTAGTTTACCAATGATGAGGAGAAAGTAAGGCAGACCCAGGGAAGTCAAGTGATTTTCCCAAGATCCTATAGCAAGTTAATCACAGAGCCACCCACCCCAGAAACTATTTCCAGGGTCCTTTCTTCTGCATTCCTTTCTTTCAAAATTGACTCTCTTCTGAATTAAGTTCTGGTGTTTATGTTTTGTGTAGACAAGAGAAGACAAAAGTAGATGGGGGGACAGAGGAGAGCGCTTGTGGAGGATGCCTGTGTAATAATGCTAACATGAGGGAGAAAGCCTCCCACTGCAGTGAATATTATCCAGACCTGCAACTTTTAAGTGTTCTAAGTTTGTTTACTTCGAAGTCTCATTTAGAATCTCCAATCATCTAACTGACTTGTTTTGGTTTTCTGACAGCAAATGACCTTCTACTTTGGCTTTAAGAATGTGGAATTATTGTTTTCTGGCTTGGTGATCAATACAGCTGGAGGTAAGCCATCAGGTGTTTGTAGGTGACAGTCATGTGAGAAACTAACAAAGAATCTGGAAACCCAGCGTCTCTTTCTGTTGTATTACTGAATCATTCTGGTTATGATCCATAACCATGTTGCTTCCTAGTAAGGATACACAAGGCTTATTTTAGAGTTTCTGAAAAACTAATTTAGATACCAGAGAGGAGCCTTTTGCATTCCAGCTCCTTTCATCCTTTCCAGGTGTTAGGTAAGTTGTTGGTCGTGCACATAAGACTATAGTCAAAGAAAAATGACTTCAGAAGCACTTTATCTATAAATACCACATGATAACTCTAGGTTAAAAGCTATTGACCTAGTGCATTGCTGCCATTTTACAGATAAATTAAGCTTCAAATAATGAAATGCTTAGCCTTAAATCACATAGAATTAGTAGATCCGAGCTAGGACACGGGCCGGACCTTCTAGACCTCCTAGTCCAGTGTTCTTGCTAGTATACCAACTGTGCTCTATATCATTTCCGATTCATGGCATGGCCCATCTTAGTGTCAGTCCTAGATTTTAGGTAACTAATCACCCCTTTCTTTGTGTCTACAATGTTGAGTTGGTGTGCCTTACGTTCAAATGACACAAGCTGAATAGTCAGTTGGACTGCTTTAGGTGCAGTTAGTTATACCTTTGGAACAAAATCAATTTGTTCTGGGAAGGAGGGGAGTATTTAATTGAGGTAGTGTGTTAAATCAGAAGTTTGAATACAGTCCTAGCATTACCAATGCTTCCCATTGTGAAAGAATTGAAATGCCAATTCAAGAAATAGAGTCAGCACTTACAAATAAGTTGTTTTACTCCCCTTTTGCATAATGTATTCAGAAACTGAGAGTAGCGCCTTTTCTTTGTGGTCTTTCTAGCATGGATAGCACACCAGCTAATGATCTTGCAAAGTTTGACAGTACCACCACCTTTTCTCTCCCTACCTAGAAATGGCTGGAGCTTTTGTGGGAGTGTTTTTACTAGCAATGTTCTATGAAGGGCTCAAGATAGCCCGAGAGAGCCTGCTGCGCAAGTCACAAGTCAGCATTCGCTACAATTCCATGCCCGTCCCAGGACCAAATGGAACCATCCTTATGGAGACACACAAAACTGTTGGGTAAGAAGATTGAACCAGATCCAGATAGAAGTTCTGGAGAGCTGGGCTAGCTAAGCAGCAAAGCAACTATTTTATTTGCAGCAGCCCCATTCTTGAGTTAGTGATTCTATTTGACCTTGATCAAAACTGTCCTTGGAGGCTTGTGGTTGTGGGTCATGAGCAGGCCAAAGGAGGAATGATAGGAACCCTTCTGCAAACATGAGTGTTTGTTCTGAATTGTATGTATCAGTCACTTGGGAAGAAGGTAAGGAATCCATATTGTAAAATATTTGCCTACATAATAAACAAGGAAAGAAATTCAGGTGAGAGTATAGAAGGATGGCAGAACCCATGTGATTCCTTTTGCTAAAAAGTTGTACCTACCCAGCTCTAGTCTCAGTTTGCTTATAATGACTGTACAAATGTCTATATTCCATCTAAGAAAGTATTTGGATGACTATTGGTTTTTCTCACAGATTGACAAATGATTTTTGAGACTTATACTTAATAGAAGTATAGGTCTGAAAAGTGAATTGGAGTTCATGCAGTCCTATAGACCAATATCCTGCTCTTGAGTAAGCACAGCATTATTTATTTCCACTGTACTGATGAGCTTGTGGAGGCCAAAACAGATTGTGACTTACCTAAGGTGACAGAACTAGTAAGTGACAGAGGGATAAAATAGCCAGTTCTCCTGATCCCTCATTAAGTACTTTCTACTATACCACCCAACCCTCAATTCTACTGCCATTTCTTTAGAATGTGAACTTTGCAAAGGTGGAAGCCTGAAAATGCTGAGGCAAATAAGCAGGGGAGGGTTTAGGCTTTCCTTTTAGGATCCAAGGTGGAGGTAAATCAGGGGATTAGGCCTCCTTCCTCTCCCAGCTTTCAAAGAGGGTTCCTCCTGCTGACATATAACCATAACTAGCCATTGCTTATAAGCCTGACCACCCTGTCATGTTTCATTTCCAGGGACCAATATACAACATACATACATAAAAGTACCATGAGCCACCAGGGTGGCTGTGAGGGAGTCCAGTTCAAGTTCTCATGACAACAGTTCCCCCTTTCTCCTGATGTGCAGAGCTGCCTCAACACTCCCAGGGGTCTTTGATTGTTGTTTCCCTATTTATTCTCCAGGCAACAGATGCTGAGCTTTCCTCACCTCCTGCAGACAGTGCTGCATATCATCCAGGTGGTCATCAGCTACTTCCTCATGCTCATCTTCATGACCTACAATGGGTACCTGTGCATCGCTGTGGCAGCGGGGGCCGGCACAGGGTACTTCCTCTTCAGCTGGAAGAAGGCAGTGGTAGTGGACATCACAGAGCATTGCCATTAATGTCAGGCTTCATGGTGTGTGGCCTTATTGATTGCAGTGGGAAGCAGTTCAGGACTGGAAGACATAATGCCTACTTGTATCTTCCCTTCTTGCTCCTTAGCTCCTTACACACACACCTGCTCAACAGAGGTTTAGCTTGCAGTCTGAGCTAACGTGGTAACCCCCGACTGTTCTTTTTCCTGCGCTGAGATTCCCGTTTCTCTTGAGGTGAAGCCACCCATGAGATGTCTTCTCCTCTACCATTTTTTTAGATCCAAGTTATATGTTCTTGTCTAATCTGGGCAGCTTGCTCTTCAATGGCTTGATTTCTTGCTTTCTTTTTTAGTCTTCTGTTTTTATGTTTAACAGACCATCTGTGAATTTGGTGGGTTTTTCCTGGGTCAGTGGTGGGAAGGGATTAACTTCAGCTAGGATTCATGGCAGCTGAGGGAAATTCTTGCCCAACTAAACCCAAAACCCAAACTTAACATTAAAAAATAAATTCCAGTCTTTGAACTCAATGAGTAGGAAGTACATTGTGCCTTTCCCTAGGTGTGATGTGTTGCACTGAAATTTTTGTAGTGGGGGGAGAGTGGTTTGAGACTAAATATAGGTCTAGAGCTCGAAGAAGTATGCATTCTTGGGTGGCTGATTCATCTATTGGGTTCCCACTTAACATTTTGATTAGAATGAACTTGTCAATCAAAAAAAGATGACAATCAGTTTGAGGAAATAGATATTTTAAAATAAAACCAATTGACATTTTACTTTGACTTGGTACCTTGGTTTGTCACAACTGAATGAGGCAAAAAAGTTTGAATCCTTATCTCCCATTACTGTTTTTATGTGTCTGCCTCTAAACCAGTGGTTTTCAAACTTTAGCATGCACTACATCACCTCAAGGGCTTGTTAAAAACACTAGTTGCTGGGCCTCAGCCCAGAGCCAAAACTTGGCATTTCTAGAAGTTCCCAGGTGATGCTCCTGCTGATGGTCAGGGGGCCAAACTTTGAGAATCTCTGCTTTAAGCCTGGTGGGGTGAGCATGGAAATTTGAATTACTCACTGGTAGGTGGTATGTCAGGGCTTCAGTCATGTGCTAAGTGCTGCTGGTCAATACTTAATCATTCCACAAACACTTACGCAGCTCTGACTGTGTATGTGTGCCCAAGCACGCATGCACGAGGGCTGCAGCCAAAGTAACTTTCATCAGCATGTATGAAATCACCAGTCCTTATTTTTAAAGATCTTGGAAATAGCTTGAAGATTGAGAAAGAACCTTTGATCTGCAGTGTCAATTAGCCAATCACAGGCCAGAAGGACAAAAGTATAGCCCTATCTTTGGAGAGGCTTAGGGTGTGTTTTGCTGATGGCCAGATATTCCTTAGGCTCCCCCCATCCATGCCCATACCAGGCAGATCATCCTCTACGTGGCCATCTTTGTTACTCTCGGGTGCTTAATTAGATCACAAGAGGCCAAAACCTCTTTTCTCAATGAAGAATCACATTGGATTTTTATCTATTCAGTTGTTAGTCTATGCTGCAGCTTTGTTCCCAGTCCAAACTACCTCTATAAAGTGACTCTTCTATGCTGGTCTGTTAAATCCTGCCCTCCTTGGTGCTAGGCTCCAGTTGTGCCTCAGGGCAGAAGAGACAGAGCACAGCTATCCTGTTGGCCTCTGTTGTGGTTTTGAAGTTTGAACATTCTCTGTGGGTACAGTTAACTATTGGAGTGAGGAAGGTGTACTTCCGTGGCTTTGAACCAAGAGAGGGTTGTGAGCCTACTGAATCGATGAATGGAGCCTTAGGTACTTAAAACCTAAGAACCTAAGTTTTGTGCTTTTCTCTCATTCCAACCCCTTATAGTGCTGATACATAGCAGGAGCAGAGTGAACGACAGGTACTGACAGAGTCCAACATTAAAGTGTAAATAGCCTGTTATTGTCTCAGAAGCCAAGGAATAATAAAGTAAAAAGAATGTTTAGTAGTGACCCTGGTGCTCTCTAGAAATCTTGGAATGAGCTGCTGTAATACCCTTTTAGGAACAGGACCTTATCATTAAGGTAAGAAAATCAAGGCCAGTTAAGACAAAGTGCGATGAATTTGAAACTCCCAGAGAGAAACATCAATTTGGGATAGGTCTTCAGGTGGTCAAGACAGTCTCCTGAAAAACCTGAATTCCAGCAATTCTTAGACTAGGTTGCCAAAGCAAGCTAGTGAAAGAGAAAAAATAAAAGCTTAAATCCCTTCTTTCTTGAGCTCTTGGGTTGTGATAATGTAATGGTCTCGCTGACTCTCATTTCTGTGTCCCTGTTCATTTGGAATATAGTTCCTGACTTCTTTGTTCCTTTTGGATCCAAATTTCTTTTCCTCCCTCCCTGTGCAAACCTATTAGAAGCATGTATCCCCATTTCTTCGGCACCCTTTTTGCTCTCCATTTCCCTCTTCTCTCTCTCATAGCTAGAAGATAACGTCTTTTATCCCATATGTCTAGTTTATTAAATCTCCCTGGCCCTCCTGATGCAGTGGACATTACTATGCAGTGGATGTAGATACCAGCCAGAAGTTGTAAAACTTGGTAGAGACCTTAAGCACGTTTCAAGGAGCAAGTGTCCCACTGGAATTTCTGTAAGGTTGGGTAGAGGGCTACCTGGTACCATCTGCAATTATAGAATCTTAATTGCTCTCTCCAGTCTATGCTGGAGCAACACTCAGCTCCTCAGTGCCCACAAACAGGGAATCCCGTGTCCACCAGGGAATTAGAGATTAAGGTTTGTCACTACTCCTATGGTAGGGTTGTCTGGAATTCCCTTTCAGGCTGTGGGGCACTAGTCTTGAATTCTAGCCACAAAGGGTTAGGAGCTGGAAGGGGAGGGGGCAGGGGGTACACTTTCATGTCATTTAATTTTGATCCTGCCCTCTCCAGCTGCTTCTTTCAGAAGATTCATCTAAAAATACAAAGTCTGCATTTGATATAATGCCTTAATCACTGGGTCCACAGTTAATGTTGACTGTTTTAGATTGTAAGCTCCTGGAGAGCAGTATTGCTACAGTAGGAATGTTTTAACAGTGTCATGTACAAAAGAACAAAATAAATATTTTGATTTTGTGATTCTATGCGTGTCTTTTCCCCAGAGTGGTATCGGAACATGTGGTCTCTCATTGTGCACATAGAGTCTTGGCCATCACCATCAGTTTCTAAGAGGTCAGTCTTTAGGTGGCATGGTCCCCTTATGTTTTCATACCATTTTCCTGCTCTACTTGCATGGGTGACAGGCTCTGCATGAAGCTGCAAATATCTCAGTACACTAGGGATTCCTGAATTTAAAAGCTAACTTGCATCATAATCCCATCCCTATATTTATGCTGTCAGGAAAGAGGTCCCGAGTTGGGCCTCTCACAGCTTCACTGCTGAGCCTTGAGATGAGCATTGGGCCTGCCCGTCCCTTTGGGAATGTCAGAATGCTGGTGTTATTTGCCCTTCATACTGGCTCCCAGGTGGCCACCTTGCCATTCACCACCACTTCTAGTCTTTTCCATGGTATAGTATGAGGAGCCTGGACTTTGGAGTCAAGCGTACGTGGGTTTGGATCCTGGCTCCACCACTTACTAGAAATGTGACCTTCAGCAAGTTCTTTTAATAATCCCTAAGCCTTAAGTTTTCTCAATTATAAAGTGGCAATAATAGTATGTATTTGAATGAGGAGCAATATGTTTAAAGCTCCAAAATATAATAAATAGGCATCTAAGCCAGAGTAAGTATAAAATTTTTTATTCTATTTCCTGTCAACTTCCACCAAAATATCTCCATAAGGGCAGGGATTTTATTGTCTGTCTACTTTGTTCACTGTTGTATCACTAGTTCCTAGAAAAAGCCTGGCACCTTGGAGGAATTCAGTAAATATTTTTTATTGTTGTATGAGCTTGGAATTGAACCACACAGAAAGAATAGCCAGTTCAGTAAGTCACAGACCTGCCTAAGGAGCTCACCACATGAAACTACTAAGTAAGACAGTAATAGCAACAACTTCTACAGCAGCCCTTTTAGATATGTACTATCTCCATGATATGGTAAGGAGAGCGGCTCACAAAATTTAAGTCATTAGCTCCAGATAACACAGCAAGAAAGTGACTGTGCTGGAATTGCAGCTCGAGGCACTTCACACCACAATCCATGATTTTTAATCCTTTTAATTATGATCCCAAACAAAAGTAGAAGGAATCGTGTTATGCACCCCTCTGCACCTACCACTCAGCTTCAACCAACAATGATAAATCCACGGCCAACCTGATTCCCAGAGTCCATGATCTTAACCCCTTGCTATATGATTAAGAACAGAAAATTTACTCCTTATGAGCCGAAGAGCAGAACTCTGCACATGGGAGTGGTCAGGCAAGCCCTCGTGAGGTCTGCTTTGGTTAACCTCTCCTTTCCCTCCTCACCAGCTGACTGCCCAGCCTTCATGTGAAGCCCCAGAGCATGGAACACAACCTGTGCTCAGGGTGTGTGAGGCCTGATCCAAAGGAAAACCGCATGAGAACTCAATTTGCTAAGTGTATGTGCTTAGTTTGGGGAGGATTTTCCACTAAGCCTTATTACTGCCAAGAGGTTTGGGTCCGAAGGAACAAGTTCATAATGGATCGAGTTTACACCAAATCACTAAATCTAATCCCCACAAGGAGGGCAGGATCTTTGTTGATTTTATTCATTAATGTTACTAAGTGCCTAGAATGGTACCTGGCACACAGTAGGCACTGAATAAATACTTGCTGAATAAATGAGTCACATGAAAGTCAGTGATGAGGGTGAACTGGAGTGTTCTGTGCTCAAGGTCTTTTAATAAAGATGGAAAGAATGATGTCACCTCTGTATCAACTACCTTTTCAAGTCTGAGGGTTAGCAGTGCTATTAGATTTCATTAAGGATATCTCATACTTTTCCAAAAATATATTTATTTTTAAAAACAAAAATCAGACAAGTTTTACAGAGTCAAATTCTCCAGAGACAAACCAGAGTTTAGATTTCGGCTTCGAGTGAAAGGTAAGCATCAGTAATCTCATGCAGAAGTATTTCTCTCTGCGGGAGGTAAACATTCTGCTTGACTACAAGCTCAAATCCCTGGACCTCATTTGTACTTCTGCCATCATTTTACACCATTCCAGGGCTCTAGCAAGCAAGATAATCCAACTCTAAAATTCAAAACTTCCAAATTGAGATGAACGATTGTTGGGCTTGGCTTGAGGTTTATAACCAATTCGATCATTAATCACTTGTTCCCGACTCTTGGGGTCACTGCTGAGCCCTATGGCCCCTTCTCCATCACTGCCTCCTACGACATCCACATCTTCCCTTTGTTTCTTACGGGTCTGAAAGTACAAAAGTTTTAGGATTAAGGCAACATTCTTTCCATTAGCAGATATTTATTTGGCACCCATCATGTACTTGGCAAAGGGTAAAGGATAGGGTCTATAGAACAATAAACTGAAATCCTAGGTTTGGATGGTTAGGAATACAGGTTGGGTACAGCAGTCCCCCCCTTACCCACGGTTTTGCTTTCTGTGGTTTCAGTTACCCACGGTCAACCAAGGTCCAAAAGTATTAAATGGGAAATTCCAGAAATTCTAGCATCTCCACCTTGTATACACTACCTGCCTTTTAGTCACTTTATAGCTGCCTCCGTGATCAGAATGGCTGTCGCAGTATCGCTGTGATGTATACAAGTCACCCTTATATATAGTAGTCTAACGCGGTCATTCACCTCACTTCATCTCATCACAGTCACTGTATCATCTCACATTGTAAGAAGAGTACAGCACAAGATATTTTGAGAGAGACCACATTCACATAACTTATTGCAGTATATTACTGTAACTGTCCTACTTATTGTTATTAATTTATAAATTAAACTTTATCATAGGTATGCATGTATACGAAAAAACATAGTATATATAAGGTTCAGTACTACCCCCGGTTTCAGACATCCAGTGGGGGTCTTGGAACATATCCCTCACAGAGAAGGGAGGACTACTGTATGATGATTATAGATATAAGCCATACCTTCAGGATGTCATCATCTACTGAGGAAACAGGTAAGTAGGCAATTACAACATAGTGTGCTCTAAGCTATGACAGAGGAGCCCACACTGCCAAAGAGACACAGAGAGGTGAGGAGTGAAGGTTCAGAGCAGGAAGCTGCAATTAGGAAGGTAAACAAGGGTTGTCAGACAAGGAGGAGAGAAGGGTGGTTCAGGAAATGTATTATTCAAGATAATAGATGGGAAAATGAAGTGACTGGTAAAACAATAACCACCAGAAGTTAACAGCATGACTGACATCATGAGATTAAATGTAACACAGGAATAGAAGGTTTTGTGCCATCTTATCAAAAGGCTTGGGATTTCATTTGTTTTCAGAGAAAAGGTTTGGCTCTTAAATCACAAGTGAATGCAGAATTCACAAAGTCTATGTCGCAGCTTGACCATTTAAAAAAAGATATCCCATAACTACCACCATGTAACTAAAAATAGATGATGACGATCTTTGAGAGAATGAGCATGTCTTATCTCGACTTCCCTACTAGAAGGGCTCGACTACTCTAATCACTGGAATTGCTTCCACACCTCACCACTTACTGCTGAACTTTTAAATAATCAAATAAGGTATTACTATATATATGTACACACACACACAGGGTAGGGCAAAAGTAGGTTCACAAGAGTACAAGAAATAGTTTATTCATGTATTATTTATTTTTTAAATACAACTTTTTATTGATTTCAAAGAGAGGGGAGAGAGAGCGAAACATCAATGATGAGACCATCGTTGACTGGCTGCCTCCCACATGCCCCTACTGGGGATCAAGCCCGCAACCCAGGCATGTGCCCTGACCGGGAATCAAACTGCGATCTCCTGGCTCACAGGTTGATGCTCAACCACTAAGCAACACTGGCGAGGATCTTGTATTATTTATTATTGTATTATTTTCCATATGAACAGCTGTAAACCTACTTTTGCCCCACCCTGTATATATAGATGAGTATAATAATTCCCTGAGTTACTCTCTAGTTAGTCTACACTATCAATAAGAAACATTAGAAAGTTCTCCCCAAATAATTTGGTGACCACATTTCTAAAAGGGAAAGGATGCTATCATTTTATAAGCCATGAGAAACTCTGAGACTATCCAAATGGAATTAAATCATTTAAAGGGCTTCCCACTGTGAACGACTGCTGATTGTTTCAGAATCCAGAGTCATCAAAATGTAATCAAACTAATTTCAATAACAAATGTAATACCAGTTTTCTTCTGGTTTCATTTTAATTCAGGGCAAAACTATCCCTCCCACCTAAGTTTCTCTAAAACAACCCAGACCCACTGGATACTGCCTTTAGTAGAAAGATTAACTCAGCAGTGAGCTGACTCCACAGAGTCAAAGTTCAGTAAGCTAGCTAGCACTTTATGGCTCAGAGGAACTAAAGTCTCTAGGATGAGGAAATGGGAAAAGAAAAATCCAAGTTATCTGTCTTAAGAAGAAGCACATACAGGCTGGGAGCCCCCTGTGATACAGATCAGAGAAAGTCAAAGGCAGAGGAAGTATCTGAGAACAGTGGGCCGAGGACTAGCGTAACTATCATGCCATTATCACCCCGAACACAATCACTAATAATTCCTTAGAGTAACCTTATACCCAGAAATAAGATTTTAGGTGTTGAAAAATAGCAGCATATACAATACACAGTAAAGCCACCGTGTTCATGGATATGTACAAGATGTAGTGTCCTCTGCCACATAGTATAAAACAGCTACTAGGACAGCAAATGAAAATAGACTTGTATTGAGCATCTCGGCTGGGCCTGGTACTGCAGGGGACAGATGCTGAGAAGAACATACTCGTTCCTGCCTCCAAGGAGCATACGGACTAGTGGAGGGAAAAAGAAAAACAGACAATTACAACAGTGACAGTACCTAAGAGGGGTCAGCTCAGGAGGAAGAGGCTGAACCTAACCCAGCTGGGGTAGAAAATCAAGAAAGACTTCTGGAAGGAGCTGAGTCAAAAGGTGAATAGGAGTCAGCTGGCAAAGAAAGGCAAAGGGCACCTCGGGGAAAGGGAACAGAGTGCGCAGAGGTACTGAGAGTACATGTAAAGATAACTGGGCAGTGAAAGATAAAGTGGAGAGATGAGCAAGGGCACTGTATGCCATCCTAAGGAGTCTGGACTTTATTCTGAAGGCCACTGAAGAGTTTAAGTCTTACTAATGCACATCTGATACTGGGGGTAAGGCTACACTTAAAAATACATATTGAGCCTTAGCTGGTTTGGCTCGGTGGTTAGAGCGTTGGCCAGTGGACTAAAGGGTCCTGGTTTCGATTCCAGCCAAGGGCACGTACCTCGGCTGCAGGCTACGGTGCATGTGGGAGGCAACCAATCAATGTCTCTCTCACATGGATGTTTCTCTCTTTCTCTCTCTCCCTCCCTTCCACTCGCTCTGAAGCAGCAATGGAAAAATATCACCAGGTGATATCACCAGGATAAACAAAACAAACCATTGAGCTCTGACTATGTACTAGATCCTGGGAACCCAACGGTGAAGAAGGCACGATTTCTACAATCAAGGTTCCTAACGTAAATGGTTTTACACTAAACAAACAGGTCATTGTAAATTATAATAAATGCTACAAAATCAAAGAATAAAGTGCTTTGAGAGATCCTAATGAGTTGGAACCAGCATGGATAGGAAGACACACCCAAGCTGACAGGGTCAGAAGAGGCCTCACAGACTGAAGAAGTGACATTTAAACAGAGATATGAAGGGGGTGCACTCCAGGCAGAGGGAAATAATATGTGCAAAGGCCATGAGTGATAAATAATTTTGCACGTTCAAGGAAGTGTAAGAAAGCCAGTGTGTCTGGGGTACAGAGGGCAAGGCAACAAGTAGCAGGAAGTAAAAGCCAAGAAGGGCCGGAACATAGAAAATCTTGTAAGGTATAGGAATTGAGATTTTATTTTCAGTGTAGCAAACCACTGAAGAATTTTAAGCAGGGGAATGACTTGATCTTAACATTTTTAAAGATCATTCTAGATACCTGATGGAGAAAGAACTGGAAAGACAAAAATGGAAGTAGAAAGACCACTTAGGATGCTACTGAAATTGTAGAGAGAGATGATGGTTACTTGGATCAGGGTTGTAATAGTGGGGATGAAAAGGTATCGATAGGTTCTAGAATATTCTGGAGGTAGAATCAAAGAGTTTACAGACAGGTTATATATAAAGGGGGAGGGAAAGGGAGAACTCAAGAGTGACTCTTGGCTTGAGCAGATGCATAGATACTGAGAAGAGGAATACTGAGGTAAAACTGGCTTGAGGAAGAAATCAAGAGTTTTTTTGTTTTAACATGTTCAGTGTAGTGAGGTGCATAATGAACCCCGAAGCTATCAGGTCCTAACCCCAGGAACCTGTAAATGTTGTCTTACATGAAAGAAGGATCCCTGCAGATGTGATTAAGGATCGTGAGATGAGGACATTATCCTGGATTATGTGAGTAGGCCCTAAATGCCATCACATGTATCCTTAAAAGGGGGAAAAGGGAGATTTCACAGACAGGAGAGGAGAAGGCAATGTGATCAGAGATTTGAATGATTCAGCCACAAGTCAAGCAATGCCAGTGACCACCAGAAGCTGGAAGAGTCAGGAACAGGTTCGCCCCTAGAGCCCCTGGAGGGAGCATGGTCCTGCTGACACACTGATTTAGTCCAGTGAGACAGATTTCTGGCCTATAGAACTGAAAACATAAATTTCTGTTGTCTTAAACCACGTTTATGGTGATTCGTTACAGCGGCCACAGCAAACTAATACATTAAATTGGAGATGCCTGTAAAGCATCTAAATAAGCTGTCGAGTGTCTGGAGTTCAAAAATTAAGTTATTGCTTCAAATATTCCTAAGGGTTTGAAAGTTGTACTCTTACCTCCAAGTCTTTTCGAATGCTTTCAAACTCTTCAATGTCATCAAGCTTCAGCTCCAGGCGGGTTGGTTTTCGTCGCAACATACTGAAATCAACACTAAGGGCTAGACCCAGTGAACTCTTAGCTGTTAAAAAATGGCAGAGAGGAGGAAAAACTGGAGGGGATAAATCTCAGCTACAAATATAAGATCAATTTGTAAGCATGCACACTAAACTGAATGGCAACACAAGACTCATTTGGATTCACACAAAGACTTCTACGTCTTTAGGTGTCTGAACATAACATTCTTATTATATGATGGAGAGCCACAGCACTGTAATTCCAAAAAACTCTTTCTTCATGAACTTAAAATAGCAAGCTGCCTGTAAGAGAATTCTAGGCAACAGACACTTTAATCGCATGCTCCAGTCACATTCAAAGACATTTTCTAGCTAAAAGAATAATGTTAAGAGATCACATCTTAATTCAGTAGTGTAAGTGGGAGAGTATACAAGCCATTACATTTGATCAACTCTACATGAGAACTGTGAGAGATTTGTGATCACTCCTAAACACTAAAACCAGTTCACTAAATCTCTTGAAAACTCCCTCTGACTCACCAATTCAAAGGGTTATCCTCAGGTCTAAATAGATCCTAAATAGATAGGTCATTCATTAAACAAACACTTCTTGTGCGTCAGCTGAAGAGTTAAAAGGCACAGTCACAGTCTGTGGAGAAAACAAACACGTAAACAGAAACCTGCATAGTGTACAAAGAACACTGACGAGGGTAATGCAATGGCATCACACAGGCCCAGTTCACTCTGGGTTTAAGTGTGGGGTGGACAGGGACACGGAGGACTCCCTGGAGGAGTTGATATCTTCGTTGACTTGTGAAGGGCAGGCAAAGAACGAGGATTAGGGGCATTCTAGGCAAAGAATATAAGGACAAAAAGGGGCTCAAGAGAACACTCCAGGTTGAAAACCCAAGACAATCCTTATGCCAACAAAAAACATTTTTTGGAGAAAAAATAAAACTCCCCCAGAGTTTAAAATCTATTGATGGCNCTTCAAATATTCCTAAGGGTTTGAAAGTTGTACTCTTACCTCCAAGTCTTTTCGAATGCTTTCAAACTCTTCAATGTCATCAAGCTTCAGCTCCAGGCGGGTTGGTTTTCGTCGCAACATACTGAAATCAACACTAAGGGCTAGACCCAGTGAACTCTTAGCTGTTAAAAAATGGCAGAGAGGAGGAAAAACTGGAGGGGATAAATCTCAGCTACAAATATAAGATCAATTTGTAAGCATGCACACTAAACTGAATGGCAACACAAGACTCATTTGGATTCACACAAAGACTTCTACGTCTTTAGGTGTCTGAACATAACATTCTTATTATATGATGGAGAGCCACAGCACTGTAATTCCAAAAAACTCTTTCTTCATGAACTTAAAATAGCAAGCTGCCTGTAAGAGAATTCTAGGCAACAGACACTTTAATCGCATGCTCCAGTCACATTCAAAGACATTTTCTAGCTAAAAGAATAATGTTAAGAGATCACATCTTAATTCAGTAGTGTAAGTGGGAGAGTATACAAGCCATTACATTTGATCAACTCTACATGAGAACTGTGAGAGATTTGTGATCACTCCTAAACACTAAAACCAGTTCACTAAATCTCTTGAAAACTCCCTCTGACTCACCAATTCAAAGGGTTATCCTCAGGTCTAAATAGATCCTAAATAGATAGGTCATTCATTAAACAAACACTTCTTGTGCGTCAGCTGAAGAGTTAAAAGGCACAGTCACAGTCTGTGGAGAAAACAAACACGTAAACAGAAACCTGCATAGTGTACAAAGAACACTGACGAGGGTAATGCAATGGCATCACACAGGCCCAGTTCACTCTGGGTTTAAGTGTGGGGTGGACAGGGACACGGAGGACTCCCTGGAGGAGTTGATATCTTCGTTGACTTGTGAAGGGCAGGCAAAGAACGAGGATTAGGGGCATTCTAGGCAAAGAATATAAGGACAAAAAGGGGCTCAAGAGAACACTCCAGGTTGAAAACCCAAGACAATCCTTATGCCAACAAAAAACATTTTTTGGAGAAAAAATAAAACTCCCCCAGAGTTTAAAATCTATTGATGGCATCTTTATATTTTCGTTGTGTTTTTTTTAAAAAATATATCTTTATTGATTTCAGAGAGAGGAAGGGAGAGGGAAAGAGAGATAGAAACATCAATGATGAGTCACTGATGAGCTGCCTCCTGCACGTCCCGACTGGGGATGGAGCCCACAACCCAGGCACGTGCCCTGACCGGGAGTCGAACCACGATCTCCTGGATCCTAGGCTGATGCTCAGCTGCTGAGCCATGCCGGGCTGGGCCATCTTTATATTTTCTATAGCATCCAGTAGGGTGTATCTATAATAATCAGGCAGTAAATGTTTTGTTGAATAAACTGGAGATCCAAATAAAGTGAAATGAATTTTCCATGAGCATTGTGCTTTTCCATGTTCCTTTATTTATAGATATAAATTATTATTACATGTATCTAGGATGTAGCTAGGGACTGTGAAGTACACAAAAAAAGAAATGTTTCCTTCTCCCTCTCATGAAAATTGGGATACAGGTGATATTATCAACACAAAATACTAGCACATCACATTTCAAATTGCTTTGAACTAAATCAGACACAATCTTTATTCCAATGTAGATAAATGGTAGAGGAAGCCAAAGCTCTGAGGAGAAATGCTTAAAAGAAAAACGTTGTTTTGCAGTCTTCACCTTTCTGTACAATGTGAAAAGCTTGCCACTAGGGAGCAGTATAGGGTAATGGGTAAAAGTGCTCGCTCTGGAGGAAAAAGGGCAGAGAGGTTCTAATACATCCACTGCTTAAACAATTAGCTTCACCTTTCACTAGATCTCAAGGTCCATATCGCACTCTGTTATTGTACGGACTGAGTGACGTAACGCAGACTACCTTCTTGGAACATCACTTGCCACCAGCAAATTCTCAATAACTAACAGCCAGCATTATTGGAACTGTCTTTGTGCAGAGGGGCGGGAAACACTAACATTTTGAGCATCTCCACCCCCAGCATGAGGCAAAAACCTTGCCTATTTCATCTCCCAGGCCCCAGCCCCCAGCCGGACACAGGGCCTTGACCTTGCACAGTTGTTCGCGTGTACCTGACGCCTCACACCCACCATCTCACTCTGCATCGGATACAAAGAGCGGGCTGAAGACAACAAAAGTAGGCCGTGGCTCCTCCGGCGGGGCTTTGTTACTTTGGGGAGGGGAAGGAGGGGACCTCTTCGAGCTTCAGTCGCTGCTGCCCAAATTCACCCAGCTCAAAGGGAGCCCCTGCGAAGGAACCTTCAGGCAGCGAAAACGGCTCGCCCGCTGCAGCTCTAGGGCAGCAAACACCGGTCCTGGGCAGAGGTTTCCAGGGCAAGATGGTCCCCGGATCCAGGACAACGTAAAGCCGCTAGGAGAGCCGGGGGGAACGGCCCCGGAAGCCCTGGATTCGCTCCGGAGTTCAGCCCGGAGCCGCGCCACTCGGCGCACCTACCTCTTTCAAGCCAGCGCAGCCCGCTCGCGACACCTCGGCGCCCACCCAGAAGCTGCTGCTACGCCAACTGGACTACACTTCCCAGAATGCCCTGAGGCTCTGTCCTCGCAGAACCTCGACCTGCGCGTATTTCTCCCAGGCTCTCTCAGTCACACCTCCGGACGTGTCCACAATCTTTCCTTCTTTCCTACTACGAGTCCCATCGTGCTCCACGCAGTCCCGGGCGCTGCGTCGCTCTAAGTCCATTTCCGGTCGCCGTCGGTGACGCAGTTCCGCTTTCCTGGGCGCGCTGTGGATAGTCTGAAACGCAGAGCTCGCCTTACCCTGGGGTTTGGCGGCTCCGGAGCCCAGCATGGCTTCCTCGCGAGCTTCCTCCACGGTACAGATTTCAGCTCACCCCGGCAGGGAGCGCCGAGGGGTTGGGGGTCCCTGCGGACAGGGCCGTTGGGGGGCGGGCTAAGGCAGTGGAGGGTTGAGGAGGAAGGCTGCGAGATTTGCCGGAGCTTTGTTTTCCTGATTCCTAAGCCCATTCTTGTGCTTAAGCTCATTTGCACCTCTTGTGCAGCGGCGAACGGAAAATAAGTCTTCCGACTGGTCCAAAAACGGAGCTCTGAAAGGGAGTGGTGTCCTGGCCAAGATTTATGTCCATGTCAGACCTTTTCAATTGAAATGAGGCCTCCTAACTTCATCTGGACTGCCTCTCGTCTGAAAACTTTCCCCCTTAACATCCACTTGATTATTTCAGTTATATTTCTCCAGTGATACGCAATGACCCTGGAAGTTTCATAAAACCCAACAAGAGGTTGCACTCCAAGCGGATGAATTCAACATGTTCCAAAGCAAACCTTTGATAGAAAAGTCACCAGGAGGAATTAAGTAGTGCTATCAACCTCTTCCTGCCTGAGATACTGAACCCCCACCCGGCCCCCCATCCGTGAAGACACATCTTAACTGGTGTCCTCCTTGTTCTTTCTTTTGGGGAGGAAATACAATTGAAGCTCAAGATGAGCTTTATCCTTTGAGGAAGCCTAGTGAATTTCCAAGATTAAGCCTTAGGTTAATCCAGGTCTTTGATTTAGCAGGCAACCAAAACTAAGGCACCTGATGACTTAGTCGCTCCTGTTGTGAAGAAACCACACATCTATTATGGAAGTCTGGAAGAGAAGGAGAGGGAGCGTCTGGCCAAAGGAGAGTCTGGGATTTTGGGAAAAGAAGGACTTAAAGCAGGAATTGAAGCAGGAAATATTAACATAACCTCTGGTAAGATGCAAATTGTGAGTCCAACTTTATCTTTGGTGCTCAAATTTTCTGCAATGAATGCCTTCCTAAACTGAGCTGTCACTAGTTTTGTAGTGTTAAAAATTTCTGTATTTATTTATATCTGTATATGGTTATACTTTGTCTACCCCGCTTAGCATCATTTTACTTTTCTAGCTGCCTTTATTGTAAAAACACAGTATATAATGCATGTAACATTACAAAGTATGTGTTAATGGACTTTATGTTATGGATAGGGCTTCCAGTCAACAGTAGGATACTAGTAAAGTTTTGGGGGAAGTTGAAAGTTTCAAGTGGATTTTCCACTGCACAGGTGGTTGGCACTCCCCCCACCCTTGTTCAAGGGGTCAGCTGTGTTTAGATTCAAATTGATTCCATTTGTCTTTGGATATCAAGCACAGTTCTTGCATTGGTTTGGAACGACTGTGGTTCATAATAATCTCCTATTTCTAGTTTTCCAGTTATTTTTCTGCCAAAGTGAAATTTTCAAAAAATACATGTTTTTATTGATTTTAGAGAGAGGAGGGGAGACACATCTATCGGCTGCATCACCAGTATACTTAGCATTTTTCATCCAAATGCTTGGATTTGGTGTAGGTTTTTAAACTAGCTGCTAGTTTATTCAAAAATCCTTATAGTCAAGGAATATCATTTTCATGATAATTATTTCCAGTTTACTAATTTCACTTGTAAGTGTCCCCATATTGGGACTGTTTTAGAGAATAGCTTTGACAATTGTTAAAATAACGTTTCTATTTTGTCTTCTGGATAGAAATCCTAATTAACTCATTTGCTAAAGATGCTCCATACTCTTTACTTTCTTGTCTAATCTTAGAATGTGTTTATGTAGGTGTACGGTTGCCAAATGAAACAAGATGGCTTGAACCATTTTGCTCCCTTTTAAAGCTGTGTCATTTAGTTTTCTGTGTTTGGCATAAGTTTATAAACTGAGGCACAGTAAACTATATAAAGTGTATAATAGATTAGACCGTGAACTTTCACTAAGGACATGCACAGACTGCAACTGGAAGAAATTATTTCTTTTTCCCTATTTGAAGAAGATCTGACGGTTATGCTGATGTTGCCTGTTCTTTTTGTAGGGGAAGTGTTTGAAATTGAAGAGCACATCAGTGAGCGACAGGCCGAAGTGTTAGCCGAGTTTGAGAGAAGGAAGCGAGCCCGGCAAATCAATGTTTCCACAGACGACTCCGAGGTCAAGGCTTGCCTTAGAGCCTTGGGGGAGCCCATCACACTTTTTGGAGAGGGTCCTGCTGAAAGAAGAGAAAGGTGCCCTTTCTAAATGCTCTTTTTTTAAATCACAGGATTCTAGTTACAAATTTCATTTGGTATTTATAGCAAAAACTTCAATATAATGTCTCAGATATTGTTAACAGAATATCTTAAGTTGTGTTTATATAGTTTAACCCATAATCTGAGTCTAAGGCCAGTTTTTACTCCACTACTAATTTTTCTTTATAAACTGTGAAGAGGGCGTTAACATACTCCTTTTCTTCCTCTCCTCTCCCTTCCCCAAGGCGGAATTTTGAGTTGGGTAAACATTTGTAATTAAACTTTGAAAATTTAGACAATAAACACGTGCCTTCTCTATGACATAAAATAGTGATTTTCAACCTTCTTCATCTCATGGTACACATAAACTAATTGCTAAAATTCTAAGGCACGCCAAAAAATACCTTTTTTTCAGTCTGACAAAAAATTAGTTATAATTTTGGTTCATTTATACCGGGTGGTTATTGTGTTGGCTATTGTAGTTTTTTTATTTGACAATCTAAGGGAAAAGAGGTCAATGCCTGTGACTAAATAGTTAGATGTTCCATGTTTTAAACACTGGTTGAAAATCACTGACATAAAACAATAGTGTTTTTTTGGATATTGTTGAAAAGGAGCACTATCCTTAGATAATGCTTCTCTAGTGGTTTTTAAGTTGCAAAGTCTCTTAGTAACAGGCTAGTCATATGCAGTTACGAGGTCCTCCTCTTGTCTTTCTATTCTCTGTCCTGTCTCCCTATTATTTTTTTTTCTTGGTTTGCATAGTGTGTGTTTAATCACTTTAAAGCCTTCAACTTTACCATGTGTTCATTAAATATAACCAACAATGCTGGGCCTGTTTGAATTACAAGGAAAGAAAACCACTTTTCTTGTACTCCATGCTCTAGCCATACTGAACTGTGTGATTCCAAGCTCAACATGCTTTTCTTACTTCCAGACCTTTACATTTGTTGAACTCTCTGCCTCAACAATTCTTTCCCATTCTTGACCTATTGACCTGACTAAATGAGGACTCAGGTTAGGTAACCTTCCCTGATCCTCCCTCCTAGCCTAGGTTAGGTACTCCTTTTATATCCCCCCTTGGCATCCTCTACTTACCACTGTATTAATACTTAATATAATGTGCTATAGTTCCCTCTTACTTTCTGTCCCCCTACCTACCTCACCCCCAGGACTATGCTACTTGAAATCAAAAACTGTTTCATAGTCGTCGTGGTATACTTAGCACCTGCATCAGTATCCAGCACATGTAGCACTGAGGGAGGGTTGGTTGTTTTACATTACCTTCCTAATATAAACATGAAGGAGATGAGGGAATAGTTTTCTCATTTTTGTTCCACAGACCAAAGTGGTAGCTTTATTGGGGCTAATTAACTGCAAAATTGAATAGGATAATTACTTATGGTTCACCTGAGGGTATCTTGAAGACTGAGGAAACAAAATCGCACTGGACGTTTAGGCATGGCATCTTGAATCTCAAAGAAGGTTGCTTGGAATTGAATGGTGAGAGGCTAGGGAGAGCTTGCTCCCTTCTTAGATGTACTTTTCAAAATTGCATCTTAGCCCGGCCAGGCATGGCTCAGTGGTTGAGCGTCGACCTAGGATCCAGGCGATCCGGGTTCGATTCCCGGTCGGGGCACATGCCCGGGTGGCGGGCTCGATCCCTGGTCGGAAGCATGCAGGAGGTAGCCAATCAATGACTCTCATCATTGATGTTTCTCTCTCTCTCCGTCTCCTTTCCTCTCTCTGAAATCAATAAAAATATATATATATATTTTTAAATTGCATCTTAGCTTTGTTTCAATTTTGATCTTTTTTGTTACAGGTTAAGAAATATCCTCTCAGTGGTTGGTACTGATGCCTTAAAAAAGACGAAAAAAGATGATGAGAAATCTAAGAAGTCCAAAGAAGAGGTGAACTATGTCTTTACCTTCATAACGTAAACCTGAAGGAGATGAGGGAATAGTTTCCTCATTTTTGTTTTCAGTGGTTTGCTTTGCTAGGATTAGGGGTAGAGGGTTGAAGACTCTACCGTTCAGGAATAGTTGTTGGCAATAGTTTGTGGTTCCTGTGTAGGTATAAATGGAGTTTACTGAGTTTCCTATTCAGGAGAGAACCATAACATTCCCAGTGAAACTTAACGGGGAACTAGAAATCATGTAATACCTCACAGAAAACACAGTAGACAGCACATAAGCTTGATTTTATCCTATTACTGAACTAATTCACCTTTTTTCTGGGCAGTTAAAATAGGGAATTGACAGCTATGAGTGGGGGCAAGAATGCTCAGACTTAATATTTCTGCTCTTAATTTAACTTTCAGTATCAGCAAACCTGGTACCATGAAGGACCAAATAGCCTAAAGGT